ATGTTTACTTTTAGTATTAGGAAATGTCTTGTCTTATCTGTTTCACTGTGGGAGAGTTACATTAAAGCTGACTTTGACTTTAAAGGGCCTTAAAATAATTAGTAATTGTAGTATTTGATAGATCTACGTAGTTACTGCTGACAGTCATGACTTAGGACACCTTAAAAACTCAAAGGAACCACTGATAATTGCTTGTTTCTGCAAAGGAAAGCACGATTTTAATCCCAGACCTTCACTGAGTGTTTGAGCCTTTGTTGATAAAGAGAACAGACTTTTAATTAACTGACTGACCGACATGTCTGCTGTCCCTCACTATATATAAAAGTGGTTTGTATGTCTTCGCGTTCAAACCTGACATTCTTCATTTTGTTGACAGGGTGAACGATGTGAAGACAGGAAACCTTATTGGCGTGGATAAATATGGAAACAAATACTTTGAAGACAAAAAGCACTACTTCTTCGGTGAGTTTCTCCAAATGCTGCATGATTTCAAGTGACGAGCAGGACGTTTGCACCAAAATTACATTGCTTTTCAGGAGGATTTTGCTAAGGATGTTCAGATTCGGGTGCTGTTATAACTCCTAACTGAGTGTGATTTGGTAAATAAACTCTTGCTTGTGCCATCAATGTGTTCAGGGCGTCACCGCTGGGTGATCTACACCACAGAGATGAACGGAAAGAACACCATGTGGGAGGTGGACGGCAGCATGGTTCCAGCTGAATGGTACGAAGCTGCAGTTTGTTATATAATTAATACAAATAATGAGACACTTGGGCTAAAACTGTCCGTGTTTTCCGGGGTAAAATTTGGCATGTCCAGGATTAACAACTAAAAGAATCCATATGATACGAGTTCTCCTTAAGATATACAGTATAAATAGTTTTCCTCAATATAAAACTCTTTTGTGGTGTCTTGAGAAGTAAATTAAAAATGATTCAGATGTTTTTACTTTTACAGAAGTAGCTTAAAAGTCGACGTTATGGTTTCCCTCTGGTCTAAGACGCATAACAGTGTCAATCAGTGTCATCAAACATAAGAAAATACCAAATAAAAAAGAAAGAATTCACATAAGCCTCCTGTTTAAGGCAGCTACTTTCCTCTTCTTCACTCTTCAGGCATCGCTGGCTGCACTGTATGACAGACGACCCCCCCACCACGCATCCACCAGAGCCCAAGAAGTTCCTGGCTGAGGTCCACCAGTTCAACGTGAGCGGCAGCTCGGACCAGTACGTGCCCTATTCCACCACCAGCAAGAAGATCCACGAGTGGGTTCCCCCCAAAGCCGGAGCTCAGTGAACTCTGACCTGAATATTTGTAAATTATGGTGTCCTGCCACTGCTTCCAATGTGTCCTGAATAAAAGCTCTATACAAACATTTATGATGGGAGTTGTAGTCCTGATATTAAACTCTTTTTTTATTT